AGAACCTAGAAAGATGACAACAGGATTTCTGCACAGTGGCTCTAGATTAAGCAGCATCACTCACACGGTATCATTTAGATACAGTTAGAAGGAAAAGACAGAAAGGAAGTTTTGCGTTTCCCAAATGCATTACATGTGTATTGATCTGAAGATGCATTAGCACAGGAATTTCCCCCCTGCAATTCCAGCTCACTGAACTCCAGTCCCCTTGGGCGTCCCTCTGGCATTGGGGTCCATTTCAGAAGAACTCAGGCTGGGGCAGCAGCACAGAAGCTGATGCAGCTCACAGGAAGCACCTTATGAGGTGCCTGAGCTCATAAATGTTACCGAGCGCCAGATGAACCGCAGCTATTTTCAAAGCTATTCTTAAGAAACACACACATTTCCTTGCAGAGGTAAAACCAAACCTCTGAAACTAGAGGATAAATCCTTTCTGCAGGAAACAGGCCAGGGGCTTTCAAGAGAATTTTTACCTCAGAGGTTTGAAAAGATTACTTGTGCAGAGAGACTTCTGCAGGTCAGTCTTATTCCCCTCGGATTTCCTAAAAGCCCTCTCAATATGGCCATTACCACTGCACAGGGAAGACCAGATTCAGTTCAGCCATACCAGAAGTGACTGAGCTCTGCTTGAGTTTTCCTAATTCCATCTGCTGGATATAAAAGCAGATTCCTACCTGGCATAACCAGCTTCATAGAGAAACTGAGGCACTTGTGTGGTTTTACCGCTTCCCGTCTCTCCACATATGATCACAATGGGATTCTCATTAATGGCTTCCATGATGACTTGCTCTTCAGCAAGGATTGGAAGTTTTAGTCTTGCTTCCTAAACAATATAAAACACATATTTTAGTTTCATTGTGTCTCACTGCTTTTTTGTTTTCCTCAGGATTGAAAACTGTTACCTTCCTCAGACCATAAGCCCACAAAAAAGAATTCTGCAAACCTTGTGGCTCGAAAAGGTCTAAACCAGCTAATATAACACCAGCATGTCTGAGAATCAGTCATCAAAACAGCTTCTCAGAAAGCAGCTGGCAAGCCCTGCACTTTTAATTTGTGAAACTTCAGAGTCACTTGAGTTTTTTAATACGGCACCTCAAGGGAAAACTCATTTCACAACTGTCCCAACTGTTCAGACCCATGCAGAGCTTTTCCCATTTCTACAGGACGTCCTGCCTACAACAAATGGGATAAAACCATCCAGCACAAGATACAGCACAATGGAGAGCTAAAAGAGACTTCACAAGATTTTCCAGTGAAGGACAATAAAGGACTGCTAATAGATTTTATATATAATACCACAGACAAACTCTTATATCCTAAAAACAGAGTCTTCCTACTGCTAGACCAGACAGGCTTAAAGCTCAGATCTGTACCTGAACAACTTGCCTGAACAAGGGCACTCTGCTGCTGGGTCAGATTAGCAAGAGATGCAAGACACTGCTACAGTGTCTGCAGGGGCCCAATCCAATGGAAAATACCACCATTCCCAACACCTTTGGCGAGCACTGTACTGCTCACAGAGCCTCACCTGAATCTCAGGAGACCTGTCCACTGGGATGAACACTGCAGGCTTGCAGGATGGTTTGTTGGAGGCTCTCTGGGAAGCTGGAGCACTGGGACCAGTTGGAGGCTGTTCAACTACTGCCTTCCTTGCTCCTTCCTCTGGCTTTTCAGCAGCACTCACAGCACTGGCTGAGCACTTCTCAGTTTCTTGTTTCTGCTCTTCCTCCTCCTCCTCAGAGCTACTGGGCTCTTCCTCAGGCTCCAATTCTGAACCTGAGCTGTGCCTTCTCTTGTTGGCACCACTGATGCTCCTGATCTTTTCAGGTACATCAGTCCTTGGCTCCTGTACTACCCTAGAACAAAACATGAACATGTGAACTAGGTTTTGGTCAATATTCTCCAGCATCTCAAGCCAGACATGATTTCCACACGAACCAGGATCTCCATTCCTGGAGGTTTCCACAACTCTGCCAGGTAAAGCCTCAGCTGTCCTGATTGCTGTATTTGTATCTAAGCAGGTTCTATCCTGGTATTTATTCATTTCTTCAGATGGCACCTTTGAAGTCTCATTATTTCAACTTCTGCCAAAATACAGCTCATGATAAATCTAGCAACTGTGGACCACATCAGCAAATGTTTTCCAATACAAGAAAAAAATGCTTAAGTAACTGTTTAAGTTAAATGTTTATCCACCAATTTTGTAGTTTAGCACAATTTGTAGGACTCTGCAGATGTAACTCTCACCCACCTTGTCCCCTATGAAAGACCAAGTTCTTTTAACTAACATCCTTTCAAAGAAGAAAATATTATCCGGAAAAAATATTATCAGATAAAACCCAGAAAATTATTTCACTCCATCCATTCCATGTTTGCAGCAAGAAGAAAAAAAATTAATCAAGGAAAAGCAGCTCAAAATGTTGCTGTTCAACCACAATGGTCCTTCTCAAAAAAACCCCTTACCTTTTAGCCTGATACATGCGCTCCCCAATACCCAGTTTGGAAGTCGTGTACAGGAGTTTCATTTCTGCCTCAGAAGCCTGGACCTCGTTCAGCTTGCTCAGCCACTCAGCTCGCTTTTTGAGGAAAAACAAAAAAAATCAGTGCTTACTGTCACCAGGAAATAATTTCATTTCAAGATTTGCACTTGAGCACTACAGGGTGCGCTCTGTGCTCTGGCAAATCCTGCTGTGAAGTTGTAAAGACCTTCCTGCTGCTGCATGGTCAGACCTCCCCAACGAAGATTTCAGCTCTACACCAGAGCAAAAATAGAAATGGGGACTTGACATCACTGCAGTGAGCAGCTCAGCTGCACCCTTCGAACACAGGGGAGAAAATGGATTTGAACTAACGTGCTGGAATGAGGGCTGGAGCAATGGGAACCTCCCTTCAACTCTCCCATGTGGGACTAGCAGGGGGTCAGGCAGCCACAGTTTTAAAGTACCTCCAGAACCAGAGTTCCTTTGTCAAAGCATTATTCAGACACTAAAAAGAAAAGGAATTTTGCCTGGAAAGGTTTTGTAAAGAAAGAATGCTCTATTTCCATACAGAAGGCTAGAAATAAGTACTTCAGGAGCACCAGCAGAAGCAGAATAAGGGGTGCATCAAACTTTTCATTCTGCAGCAGGACAAAGCTGCTCATACAACCCACTTCATGGAATGCTTTTAAAATGTAATCATGTCATTGACTCTGCCAGCCACTTGTCTACTTCCCAACACCTGTCTACGTGGTCAGGAATGGGAACCTGAGCCAGAAATGGGGTGTTCCTGCAGCACCTGACTCACTGGGAGGGAGGGCAATGCTCTTCACCGCTGGAGCTGCACTCACGAGCCCATGGGTGGTGCATCTTCAACACAATGCCCAGCAAAGGGGTGGCTGGTGCTGTTGTAACATAAAGTTCAGCACCTGCATGTCTGTGAGTTCTGCTCATCATCATCCCATTTTCCACACACCGATATTAAATTATCACTTTAAGAGAAGTGACGAGCCTGGAGTTGCCAGCAAAGCAACAACATACCTCTTTTTTCTTCTCCTTCTGCTCCAAGACTTTCTGCAGGTTTTTCTTCTGTTTCTTGCTCAGGGGTTTCTTCTGCTTTTGCACAACACAGGCAGATTTTTTCTTCTTTGCTTTTTTTGCTGGCAGGACTAGGGCATTGCTTTCATCAATTCCCTTCAGTGTTGCTCCATCTGAAATCAAGTCTTTGATTATTCACCAGCGCCAGGTGGACTATTTTCAGCACACTGTTTAACAGCCTTATCACACACCAGGACAGATTTTGGAGTTTCAAACAAACACAAGCCTCGTGTCCAGCCAAAGAAAATTCTGCAACATCAGCAGGGGCAAAAGACCACAAAACTGTGGATTAAATAACCCTGAGCTTACTATAGCCCTGAGGGAAATTTTCCATGACTTATGTAACAACACTGCAATTTTTGTCTTTTTACTCAAATCCCCAGGATCAGGGGGCAGCACATGGCACAGTGTGCCTTGGGGTGACCCTGCAGTCTCCTGCCTTGCCCAGGCACCAGTAAATTTTAATGCTAAAAATCTGCATTACTAAATTCTGAAAAATAAAAATAGTATAATAAATGTGGGGGTTTTTTAAAGGTAACATTTGAGAATGCAAATGTTAAACATAAAACCACTTTAAATAATTGCTTTAATAAATAATGGAACCACTGGTTGTCCTGAGTTGGAAGGGACTCCCCGAGGATCATCGAGTCCAACTCCTGAATTCCCTGAACGCAGTAATGCTCCAGCAGAGCTGTTAATGCAAAGCCTGCAAGTCACAGAATCACTGAGGCTGGAAAAGACCTCTGGGACCACCGAGTCCGACCTGTGGCCGAACATCTCCCTGTCAGCTGGACCATGGCACCAAATGCCACATCCAGTCTTTCCTAAACCACCTCCGGGGGTGGCGACTCCAACATCTCCCTGGGCAGCGCGTTCCAGGGAGGTCCTTTAAAATAACATTAATGCTTCCAATAAAAGCATAATAAAAATATAGCAAAGGCATGACAGTAACTCCAATCTTAGCAACTCTGCAGCCCCTTCAGCCCGAGTTCTCAGCAACGAATACAACGCCCGGGAGGAGCCGGGCCGGGTCCCGCCGCACCTCCCAGCTCCAGCGGCAGCTCCAGCGGCTCGGCGGGCGGCGGCGGCGCGGCGCCCTGCGGCAGCCGGGCCTTCCAGTTGTGCCGGCGGCGGGCACGGCCCATGGTGGCGGATACACGACGCACGACTGGCCACGACACACGACAGAACCCAGCGCCGACCCACGTGCGGCTCCTGCGGCCGCCGCTTCCGGGGGGCGCGGGGGTCTCGCGAGAAGGGGCGGGGCCGGGCGTGCGCAGGCGCAGGGCTGCCCCGCGGAAAGGCCCCGCCCCCCCGGAGCTCAAGGGCCCCAAAACCGCGCCGGGACCCCCCAAACCCACCCCATCCCACCCCTTCCCATCCCGGGGTCTCCCCCCCCGCGCAGCCTCACCAGGGACTCGCTGCTCAGTGGAAAGTCTCAGTAAACATTTATTCGAAGCTTTGCCACACAATACCATTAAGTTGATTTGTGAGATTTTTGTTCTAACAAATACTGAACTACGGAGTACACGGGTTTGGCTGGTCCGATAATAAATAAATAAAGGCATGTTAAAGCTCGGTAAAAAATGAGTCTGGTACATTTGTAGCTACTTAACAGTATTATCAGCAGAATCTCGTATGTCTCTAGGATTGTATGTCAGAAGTGAACACAGAGCATCTCTTCAGACCAAATCGTTTTCACATGAACAATTGTACAAACTTAAACACTGTGAAAGCTGATGTACAAAACGGTGTGAAATCACTACCATCAGTGCTAACAATGAGTGCTACCACAGCAAATATAACTTCTCATCAAAAGGAAAAGGTCGGTTTTTACATGTGCTGTCATCACAGGTCGATGGAATTATCCAAAAAGTTTAAAATACATGCGGATACAATAAAACCTTTTATTTTCCAACCCAGACAAAGAGAACTCATGGTCACTTATGCCATTAGCTGCCAAATACGAATCAGTACATGAGGCAAATCACACTTAAAACACCTCTACACCACCGAAGCTAAGGTTGATACTGGTCTATTTTCCACACTGACGATGCAACGAGTCTTGGAAAAGCAAATCACAATGTGAAGGACGGGCTATAAATACAGCACTGAACTACACCAGGTTTGTACACAGCACTCTGACACCCAAAACCACTGTGAAAGCGCCACATTCCATACAACACATCGGTTATCTACAGCCGGAGGTGCTGCTGCAGACGTCAGCTCTGCAAAGATGGGAGCGCGTGGAAAAACACTACAGGAGTTTCAAATATTAGGTCCTAAAGCACGCAGGTTTAAACACTCCAGACCCAACGGGATCTCCCATCCTGGACAGCCTGGAGCCCCTCCTCAGCCGGTTACACGGGGTGATGTTCTTCGCAGGGGAAGGTCCGTGAGCAGGATCCATTCCGGAGGAGCAGCCAGATGGGATATCCCCACACCCAGCCGGTCCCAGGTCACCTGTGCCCCCTCAGCGGCAGGTCAGGAGGGCCATGGCTGTGGCAGGAGTGCACAGACATCACTCCCCTCTCTCTGTTTTGCTGGATCCCAGTGAAAGGAGGGAGCTGCGAGGTTTGTTCCAGTCCCATCTCTGCCCCCAGCCCAAGCGAATCCATCAACTCCCAGTCTTGGTTTGTCCGTGGGTGACAAGGCAAGACCTGCCTGTCTCTGGGACGCTCCAACCAATGGCAATACAAAAGCAGTGCAACCACTGGCACGGGTTCTAAAAAACAGCAAAAACCTCCATGGATAAACTAGATGGCCCGGTATGGAAAATACTTGTAAAAGGTTATTTACAAAAGTTGAAAGAGATTAAATACAATACCACATTCATGTCCCAAAAGCGCTTTCACTACAGTGCATGTTTAAAAATACAGAGCATTTTTAAAGTATATATATATATATATATATTGAAGATTAGATTGTGCTTTAAAAAATCATTACTTCTGAATTTGACTAATGTGAAAACTGAGTGCTGGGAAAAATACTGATTAAAAATACCCAATTTTATATATAGCACTTTTGACATAACATTTTGCTATACATGGGATGCAAGTAAATATAAAAATACATTTTTCAAGCAGCAGGGTGATCAAAATCAAAAGTATTAATATAGGAGGGCTGATTTTACAAAACTAAGATAAATGATTAGAGCAAGACAGGGAGAAACTATAATCCAAATTAACTTTTACATAGTATTTTTAAAGAAATCTTTATAATAGATAACTCTTAATATATAAATGATTCAGTATTTTTAACTTCAACGTTAAATATGGATTACATAAAATACAATCTATGCAAACTGACTCATGCACATAGTCCTAAGAAGGCGATGGAGCCGCTGACACGAGCGAGGTTTGCAGACTTTGGTCCTCAGGCCTTAAATTTAACAGAACACATCAAGACCTGACAAGCTGTGCTAGTCAATTCCTAATTTCCAGGTTGGTGTTTTAGCCTAGTCTTCTGTGCACAACAGTAGGCAAAACTGAGTTTACAGGGAAGACTCTGTAATACTATGGAAAATGAGCTGGAAAAAGGAATACATTGTATTTTATATTTTCAGCTTTACAAAGCGGACTACTTGTTGCCATAGTCCTCATCTTAAGTTGCGAAAACCAGTTATTTTACAACTCTAAATGTTGTATTTCTCAATAAATGGTGCGCAGGGGGATTTACAGGTGACATAAAAAACTAAAATGGATTCCAACCGTGCCAAGTGCATATGAACTTCAACTGTGTTGAACTCAAGTGATCACCGTTCGGAGTAAAGGCCATTACCATGGATTTTAAAAATAACCCCTCATGTAAATGTCACATACAGACCCAAAGAGGTTAGGCAAGTAACACACATTCTAAGAAGAACATTAAACTTCAGCATAAAGAGAAAAATAAATTTGCCCAACAGTTACATTCAGTTAAGCATCACATCCAGCAAAAGTTCTGCCCAACGGAACAAGAGGACAAAGGCCAAGCCGTGCTCAGCTGCCCTGGCCTGTCCTACTGGCACTCACAGGCGTGGAGAGGAGAACCTCCTCATACTTGTTCCCTTGCTTTGTAGCCAGGCCCTATCACAGACCAATTTTTTGTTGCGTTTTTTAATGTAATTTTACGTTTAGACCCTATGGAACACAGAGTGCTTCAGCTGTGGTCCCTTCCACCTCTCATGGTATCAGTGCTCATCACTACGGGTCAATGCTTCCCCTCCCTTCCCACATCTCTATCCTCGAATGCTGTTGTTCCCAGGTCAAACCACGTTCCTGACTTCCTTCCCTGAGGTTACCTTTGTTTCACTGCATTTCAGCAAACCGTTCACAAAGCCAGTGATACTCTACCAAGTCAGTCAGTTCTAAGTTACAAATATAGAAATCCTGCAAAATAAAATTGCTTCAAAGCTCCACCGCTTTGAAATAGAACCGTTTCCTACACCCTCCTCATAAGGTGACTCACTTTCCCCAAAACCTAATGAGGACACAGACTTCAAGCAAAAAGCTCCTATAAAACTATTACAATTTTAGAAAAAAATCCAGATCTTCCTGAAGATAATTTATTGCCGCTTATTGGTCCTGAGAAAGCTTTAAGCAACAATACATTTGCACGTGTTTTAACTGCTGCCTTTTCTGAGAAAGTACGTGGGTCCTGAGATTAAAAATCATGTTTTAGTCTATGCATTTATGCTTGGAAAATGCTTCACTGTGCAGATCAAATATGAATTACAATTTGTCACGCTACGTCTTTTCCCTCTGTGCCAATTCATTAAACCAGATTTCCTTTCAGACAGCAAATTAAAGGTCTTGAGATGAAATGCAATGAAAAAATGCCACGTGTGTTTCTCAATTCCTCCCATTGGACTGGCATTTAAGGACTTCAAATCTTCCTTCTCCCTCATTCCCCACCTCCTATTAAAAGCTATGGTGTGAATTTTTTGGCCTGGATACCAGAAAATTCCTCATCTGATACTCTATGAAAGGCAACTTCAAGGCAATGAAATAAGCCAACAAAAACACAAAAACATTCACAACTTTGAAAAAAATAAAAATGTGGACCCACAGCAGATACTTCTCAATGGAAGTGCTTGGTAGCTCGAGTTTTTTGTTGTTTTTTTTTTTTTTAACTTTTAAAGTGTCAAATTTGCATATGTTTAGCTCAATTTCAGTATTTGAAAGACTACTCAATTTGCTTTTATAAAAACTTTACAAAAGATGTTTTTAAGTGCTTGTAAAAGTAAGCGTTTATCTACTGAGAAAATTCTAGTACTGGATAAAACTCTGAATATACAGCTGAATTTTGTAAATGTTTTTCTTTCTCCTACAAGTTTAATGGCTGAGTGTATAATCTAGATAAATTAGTCTCACACATGATGAAAAGTTATAACTTTGCACACTTTTTACCATGTGACGTTTTTGTTGCTTTGTAACTTTGAATGAGACAGTGCTTAGGAATTTTCTGGAGCTGGTGTACAGTGGTCTGCAGGGGCTGGTTCATTGCTCGCTGCCCCTGTCCAGGTTCTCAATCACCCTGGAAAGGCGGATGCTCAGCAGTCTGATCTGACTCTCCAGGTGGTCCATCTTCTCCTCCAGGCTGCTGTTGTTGTTTCTTCTCCAGTAAAATCCAACCGGCCCCGTCATGAAGTAAACAGCGACGACGAAGCAGAGCGGCAGGACGGCGTGTTCCGGATCGCCCTCGTACTTCTGGAGGATGTACACGCACGACAGGGTGAACAGGGCAACCCTCGCAATCCAGAAAAACCGACCAAACAGCATGTGCAGGAGATAGAAGAAGAATCCAAGGAAGAGAGATAGAAACCAATAGGCAAGTAAAATGGCACCGATCAGCAGGAGGGCACGGGTCGGGTTGTTGGCAATTGCTGCTGGGCTGAAATAATGAGTCAGGTTGGAGGCTGAAAAACAAAGGAAAATGTACAGAATGTTAATGAGGGCAGGCTGCAGTGGTACAGGGAGAAACACGAGCACAGCTCCAAAAGGTCAGTCCCCCACAGCAGCGGGGTCATGGCTGTGTTTTCTAAAGTGAGGGGTAAAACTGGTTTATCCGTTTCTGGATGGACCTTCTTCAAATTACTGGCTGACAAGTTCATACTGGGGCTACAGATCCTGCTTTGTAAAAGTTATATTCTAATGGCTCTCAGCTGTGTCTTTCTTTCCTCTAGTCCTCCCTGATTTCCCTGCACCATTCCTGGCTGCATGAATCCATCTAATGATGATACCAAGAAATCAACCATGACTTCTAAGTCATTTTACAGACATCCTACAGATACATATAGAGAAATGGAATGGTTGAGTTCAGTCTTCTTGTTCGAAGGTACTCATAGCAAAATCAAAGCCACATAAGCAGATAGAGACACTGCTGATGGATGTTTAATGCAGCATGATAAAATGATTTTCCCATTTGCTTGTAAACACTGACACAAGCTGAGACAGTTCAAGGGTAAACAGGCATCACACTTACCATCAATTCCAAGAACATCTAACAAATCAGTCCATATTCTCCAGAATGTGTCCATTAATACATCCACCCCATTCACAAACCTCTCTGTCAACCTTGAGAAAAACTGAGAAATAAAATTGAAAATTAAAAAAATCCTCAATTCCTAGAAACATACTTTGAGACTTACTAGTCATAAGTAGAATTATAATCCATTAAGCAAGAATTGTAGGTTATTTTGTAGTCCCCAAGGGAAAAAAAGTAATTTTGCAATTTTTTTTAACTCTGTGAATCTTAAATTTGCATATTACAATTATCCTTAGTGTAGGTATTTGGGCATGTAAATGTATACGTTGGCAGCACTGAAAACTGCACTTTATGGGCTTTACTATTGTTCTGAAGTTTAGAGATAACACAATCATTAGCAATTGGTAAATCAAAGCAGGGAATTAGTTTTATCGAGGAACTGCGAGATGTCCCCAGCACCACGCACAAACGTCTCAAGTGTACTCGTAGGTCAATTTAACAGTATTTATTACTTCTTCCTACTGCCTGAGGGAAGGAGGAACAGAGAATCAGGTCCTGCACGCCTGATTTCCTGCAAGTTCCTACGGCCCTACAAGCGCAGGATGCTCTGCTGATGCAGAGAGACCGGATTTCAGCTGAAGGGCTCCCCACCGACAGCGGGCTGCCCTGGCCGTCTCCCCCACCTAAAACAACCTTGATTTAGAGATTTCCCTGACAATTTCTCCCAGACTGCCGCCAGCCTCCGCTGCCGTTTCCCTCCGCGAAGCGCCGTTCCAGCCGTTCCGCCGCCTCACCCGCACAACGACGAGGCCGCGGTGGGTCCCACCGCGCCGAGGGGCGATGGGGGAGCGCGGCTGTGCCCCGGGAGCCGCCGGGTCACCCCGGGGAGCGCAGCGAGGAAGCGAAGGAAGCGCGGGAGGTGTGCGGGGCGGCGGGGGGGGCAGAGCAGCGCCAGGCGCCTCACCTTCTGCAGGGCCCGCACGTTGTCCTCGCCGAAGAGGCCGCTGACGCCCTGGTAGAGGCCGCTGGCGGCGCGGCGGAGGCTGTTCTGGCGGTCGCCGCCGCGGCCCCGAGCGGCCTCGGCGCCGGGTCCCGCCGAGCCCCAGAGCAGCAGCAGCAGCAGCAGCAGCGAGAGCAGCGCCCGCCGCGCCGCCGCCATGGCCGCCCCGCTGCGCCGCCGCCGCCGCAGCGCCGCCCGCGGGACCCGCGGAGCAACGGCAGCGTGAGGGCCGGCGGGTGAGGCGGGCGGGGCTGCCCGCGCGGGGACCGATGGAAACCGCGAAACGATCGCTCGGGTTGGCAAAGATCGCTGAGGGAAGCGGGGGGAGCGTGGCCAGCGCGTAGAGGTGATCCTACCCCTCTGCTCGGCCCTGCTGAGGCACGTCTGGAGGGCTGTGCCCAGCGCTTGGGCTCCTCTGTACGAGGAAGATAATGAGCTGCTGCAGAGAATCATAGAATCAGAGAATCATAGAATCATAGAATCAGCTGGGTTGAAAGGGACCTCCGACATCATCAAGTCCAACCCTTGATCCAACCCCGCTGTGGTTCCCAGCCCATGGCACTGATACCACATCCAGTCTTGTCTTAAAAACCTCCAGGGACAGAGAATCCACTACTTCCCTGGGCAGCCTATTCCAATGTCTGATTACCCTCTCTATAAAGAAATTCTTTCTAATATCTAACCTAAACCTCCCCTGGCACAGCTTAAGACCATGCCCTCTTGTCTTGCTGATAGTTGCTTGGGAAAAGAGACCAACCCCCCCCTGGCTCCCCCCTCCTGTCAGGGAGTTGTAGAGAGTGATGAGGTCTCCCCTGAGCCTCCTCTTCTCCAGGCTGAACAGCCCCAGCTCCCTCAGCCTCTCCTCATGGGACTTGTGCTTGAGTCCCTTCACCAGCCTTGCTGCTCTCCTCTGGACCTGCTCCAGGACCTCAATATCCTTCCTGAACTGAGGGGCCCATTGTATTTTATCTCAAAATCAGGAATAACACTATTTTTCCCTTATAATAATTCAGGTTGAAATCTCCCTGTGCAGCCCCCCCACCCCAAAAGGTCTATTCAAGTCTCTTGCTGTGTCCAGCCTGCCCTGGGATTTAACTTTTCCCAGTCCATTACCAGTTCCCAGATTTAACCTCTTCCAGCATCCCATCTGTCACAGTATTTATCCAGTTCCAGGTGAAATTTCACATGTAATAATCCACATGGCAATTTTTTTTCCCTACTGTAAATCAAGGCTTACAGTGTCTCAATTTAGGGTCATTGCTCTTACTGACAGAGCCCTGGATGCTATCAGGCTTCTTTGCCACAGGGCCCATTGCTGTCTTGTGATCAACTTTCTTGGCTCCTCGATCCTCTCCCATGGAGCTTTTAAATTACTCAGCTGTTGGGGCTCTGGAGACTTGTCACAGTCTTTACAGAATACAGAGAGATGCCTTTCCTGCATGGGTATGAAATCTCCTCTGAGGCGATTCTGAGATGCAATCCCCAAATGACAAGGGGAATACAGAACTCTCATGTCTAAAAAAATGACGTCTCTCTTTCCAGTACTCTATCAACTTCACTTTGAGGGATTCTGAAGGATGCTCATGCCCTTCACCCTCGAGAAACTCTGACTCAGATGAAACGCCAAAATTCAGCACGTTTCATGGTGTGACTCCCCCTTCTGACAGGTTTTGTGTTGATTTTTCCTTACTAACCAGGCTAATAAAGAAACAGCTGGGAAGTGTAAATTAGACAATGTTATCAGGTCGTTCTGTGTAGTGAAGCCTAAGCAGGATGTTGGCGGAGTGAAGTAAGAATCCCCAGGAGATAAAAGAGCACTTCATTGCCTTCAGAGCACATTCTGATTCATCACTGATTGACAGGAACACAATGACTGCGATATAAAAATAGATCCACAGGTCTGTAGCGTAGATTCTGCACCGACTGGTGACGTGAACTGGGGCAGCAACTGTTTGCTAAATTGCCCAACAGTAACTTCGAGGCATGAGGGATCCTGATGTCCTCCCCAGAGCTTCTCGGTGAGCTTGTGAAGGTGTAGGCGGCCCATGCTCATGTCTGTGCACCACTCAGGGTGTCTGCTCTGAAAATTACAGGGCAGATCTCTGCTTTTACTGGCCCCTTCCTGGGGAGTTCTCGCAGAGTCAGGGATGCAGCTTGTAGCTCTTCCAGTCTCTGGAATAATTTGAAGCATCTCTTTCCAAATTTATACCCCATGTTCTCAATGTTTAAAGCTCATGGCTTGGCCCAAGCCTGGTAGCTGAGTAGTTGAGTAGACATCTAGAATAGAGACATCTCTGCTATGGCCTTTTTCCCAGTTTTAGTCTGGCCAAAACACTTATTTTCACATTTAGCAGAATGGCCTAGACCTTTCAGCATTTATTTCTATTTGGCCCTGGAAGGGTTGGGCCCAGATCCAGGAAGGTACTTAGGATCTTACTTGATTTCAGTAGGGTATAGATTTTTAGATTTATAAATGGTGCTTTCATTCTTTTTTAAGATGGCCCTGAATTTGCTGATTTGTTAATCCCTGTGTATATTCGGAAGTCTATCTCATGCTCTCCCAAAATGGGTTGGCAACTGATGACAGGCATTTCTGAAGTTCTTATGAGGTTTCTGGTTATCTGCCCTCAGTGTCATGCTGTGCTTATACTCTGAACACACAGTAAATGTCAGCTTCTGGGGCATTTCTTGCATCTAAAGAGCCCCACAGTACAAAAAACCAGAGGTAATTAACTGTCATGAGTGTTGTTTTCTGTGCCAGTTATAATTCTTCAATTTGCTTCCAACTGGCATGGCCTTCTCTGGGTCCCTTTGTGCTGTTTCTGGTCCATGGGGTCTTATATCGGAGAATTTGGGAATGTTGCTGTTTCTCTACCTGAGTTGCCATCGTGAGATCCCTTCAAAATCGCTTCTGCAAGTGCCTGTTGTTTCTTTCCATCTGCTCTTTACAGAGTTTCTGAGGCCTGTGCTAGGGTTGGTTGCCTTTGGAAGCCCGCACTCAAGGCTGTCCTTCACACGACATCAGGATATTTTGGGAGTCTTCCTGGTGTTTAATTGATTTCCTGATCTGTCTCAATGAGCCTATTTCAGGTACGTTCAACTCTCCAAATCCACAGCTCTTATGAAATTGTGTGGTATTTCACCCTTCTTGTTTAAATAAATGAAATAGCGTCTGCTCAAAGAGTACATTGCGTCATGGTATGAAATATTGATCTCAGCCACACTGAACCTCTTAGTGAGGACAACTGTGAGGTTTCCAGAAAGATCCTCTGATGAGGGTCTCACTGCGCAGAAGAAGAATGAGTGTGCTTCTCTGTTTCCTCATCTGCACTAGAAACTGTGTAAGATGTCCTACTCAAATAGAGGGATTTAGCAACAATTTGAACTGTATTTAGAAGAAACGGGGGTCTGTTTCCTAGATGTCTAAGTTTTGGCAGATCATAGGGCTCTCTCTTTTTAAATCATTGTAATGCTGAAAAAAATGGCATAGCCTTAAAGAAAGCCAACTGGTGTTACTGTGGATCAGTTCTTAACCTCTTTTTTTTTTCTGTCTTTACTACTCACCAGTCTCAACCTGCCGTAGCTGATTGCTTTATGACCTCTTGTCATTTTAAGCCTTTTCATGTCCTCCCTGTGAGGCTTTTCTTGCAATGTGTCACTGTTTCTTTTCTTATTTTTTTTTCCTTTCTCTTTTCCTTTTTTTTCCCCTTTCCCTTTCCTTTTCCTTTTTTCTTTTCCTTTTTATTTTCCCTTTCCTTTCTTTTTTATTTCTTTTTCTGAAAATGCCTTAGATTTTGATTCTAGTTACTTGTATCTGATACCACACAGAGGTTGCAGAGATCATGGAGATCAAATGAGCCAGAAGTTTCTTATTCTTATCCAGACTTATTAACCAGCTGGTGCATGCTCTGAATATAGGATTTTTTTACAAAAACTTTCCAAAATCTTTATATTTCCTAATCCAGATGTTGGATCAATGGATCATGGTCAGGCCTCAGCATACTGCAGGTATTGCCACAAGGTATTATTACAAAACTTCTGTCTCACAGATCCCGGAATTTCATCACTCGAACTCCCAAGTGACTTCAGGTTACCTCAGAGACAATGTGGTAGTGCCATCACCAGTGTTATTACTGTTCATTGGCTCTGAAGGATCTTTTGAAGGGCCCCTAATCTAATCTAAAGCAGAAAATATGATCTCATTTTTAACCTTATTACTATTAGCAGGCATAAAGCAAGGCTTAAAAAGATTTGAAAATGGTCAATTCCAGTTAATCTTATTCAGGCTATTTTCCTCCAGCTATCCTAATCTAGTCTCCAAACTAATTGCAGTAGTCACTGCAGTCCTCCTAATGCCCATTTTCTCATTAAAGATTTGTTTAATTTTCCTTCTTCCCATTTTTCCAAAGTCACTTTTGAAAGAGGGAAAAACTGCTTTGGATAAAGCAAAGATGGAATGGAAGCAAGGAACCTGGATGCATAACCCACTCTAAGTAAGGATGCAATAGTAAAACTGCTGTTAATAAGATAAAAACACTGTCAGACTTTCCTAAAACCCCTAGTTTTATCATCAAATCCCAGCACACCCCTTCCTCCCTGAGCTGTGACTGTGTCAGTCCTTCTTAAACACCTTTTCCAGCTCAGCGAGAGGATTTTTGGGTCGCTTCTCAGGTAATTTGGCTGCTCATTTTCTTTTTAGAAGCCCAGGTTGCTCTGGGTGGGGCAAGGCGGCTGTTTTGCTGCTGCTTTTAGGAAGAATTTCTTCCCAAAAAGGGTGCTTAGACATTGGAACAGGCTGCCCGGGGAGGTGGTGGAGTCACCGTCCCTAGAGGTTTTCTAGGAAAGCCTGAATGTGGCACTTAGTGCCGTGGTCTGGTTGACAGAGTGGTGTCGGGTTGGACTCGATGATTTCAGAGGGCTTTCCCAACCTAACTGATTCTGCGATTCTGTGCATTTTATCTTAAAACGGGCAATTTCGGCATCGCCTCGGCGCTGAGGGGACCCACGGCGGGACCCCCACCCCTCCCTCCGTGCGGCATGAGAGCCCTGCTCCCATTGGGCACACCTCCCCCGATCCGGCCGCTCATTGGCCGGCAGAGAGAGGGGCTTGAGAAAGCTGTGCGCCGATTGGTTCTCCGTGGCGTCGGCTCTTCCCCCGCGAGGAGAGTACGCTCTGGGCTGATGTGGGGCCAGGCACGCCGCAGCCAATCAGACGCGCCGACGTCACGGCCGCCGTGCGCCGTGCGAGATCCGTCCGCGGGGCGGGGCTGCCCGGCCCTGAGGGGCGGCGGCGGGTCACGGAGTCCCGGAATCAGTGCATCGATTAGGTCGGAAAAGACCCCTGAGAACATCAAGTCCAATCTGTGACTCAACACCACCATATCAACCAGACCGCGGCACTGAGTGCCACATCTAGTATTTCCTTTAACATCTCCAGGGATGGTGACTCCACGACCTCCTTGGTGGTTCCAATGTCTAATCACTCATTCTGTGGGGAAATTATTCCTAATGTCCAAGCTAAACCTCCCCTGGTGCAGCTTGAAACTATGTTCTCTCATTCTGTCACTTATTGCCTGGGAGAAGAGACCAACCCTGACCTGGCTACAACCTCTTTTCGGGGAGTTGTAGAGAGTGAGAAGGTCCCCCCTGAGCCTCCTTCTCCAGGCTGAGCCCCCCCAGTAGCTCGTCATAGGACTTGTGCTCCAGACCTTTCACCAGCCTTGTTGCTCTCCTCTGGACCTGCTCCAGCACCTCAATGTCCTTCCTGAACTGAGGGGCCCAGAACTGGACACGGCATTTGAGGTGTGGCCTCACCAGTGCCAAGCACAGGGGTCAGTGGGTGGCCTCGTGTCCACCCTCCTGGGCTGTGACCCCCTTGGGGAAAGAGTGGTGGGGGTGCCTTGGTAAAAATGAGGAATCACAGCTTTGCTTCCAGTCCTGTCCAAAACCTGTCCCAAAGCTCACCTGTACCCCCAGAGCAGGGCAGGCTGTTTGTCAGCTGGGGGTAAATGGTGTGGAGGGGCTGCATGAGGTCTGAGGTCTGTGGTGGGGCAGGAGGCAAAACCCTGCTGGCTGCTGCCCTGCATGTCCTGTACCAGTGTTGTACCCACACAGGTTAACACTCTGTCAGTGTCATAAATACCTTCACAAACACAAAGGGTTAAAAAATAAAAGTCACAGAGAGATGGGTTCTCCAGCCAGTTTCTCCACCACAGGCTGTGGATCCCAAGCCCGCTCCTGTCCTGCCTTCTCCCTTATCTCTTGGCAGGTGTCTGGCTGTGGATTTCACACTGCCATTGACCTCTGAGTGCTGCCAAGGCAAGGGAGGCACGACAGGCAGATAACGTGTCCCCGTTCCACCCCAGCCTCCTCAAGGCCTACAGCTCTGGGGAGAGTTATTTAAAAAAATGCCAGATGTAACATCTGTCTCTAGGCAAATAAACTGTGGATTGTTTAAATCACGTTTCCATGGTCTCCACATTTAATAAAGTACTTGCATTCTGGTAGCACAAAAATCTAAATGACATTTAGAGCAAGTATACGATCTACTACACGTATTTTACTTTCATATACAATATGCCTGTATATAATTTACCATCAAACTCCCATCTTTTGAGTCTTCTATGCATTAGAAGCGAAATCATAACCTTGAAAATAAGTTACATAAGCAGCACGGATACCCTGTGGAATCGTTTAGATTGGAAAAGATCTTCAAGATAGCACTGAATCCAGTAGTGAATTTCACATAGTTAAGTGCTTCATTAATGCCAATTCCTGGCTGAAATCACAGTGACAGCCACTAGCAGAGGTCACACTCGGAAAGCAGAGTAGCAATAGTAGCTTTTAATCCAAGGTGCAAGCTGTGTAGGCAGGGAGCGTTACACAAGCACGGCTGGGATGGTGAGGCCATGGAAAGACGCGTTTCTTGCCTCATTTTTAGGTCAGACACTTGTTGCGACTTCTTCAGGCGTCCCTGGGGGGGGGGGGAAATTAATAGAGCGGCGGTGATTTCTCAGAGATCCAGTGAGAAGCGCGAAGCGATGGTTCCTCCCGGTGCCCTCACGGCGTCTGGTGACCTTTAGAGGTGACAGGGACCGAGCGCCGGCTCCCGAGTGTCCGGCGCGGCCGCTCCCCCATTCATTCCGTGCCCGCGCTCCCGGGGCCGGTGCAGCGGGTGACCTCGCACTGCTCGGGCGGGCACCGGCCCAGCCCCGCCGCCCCGCCCGGCCCCGCCGCCCCTCCCGGCCCCAGCTCCCCTCGGTCCCTCCGGTCCCCGCCGCCCCTGGGCGGGGCGCGACGCCCCGCACTTTTTTCCCCGCGGCGGAAGGTTACGGAGTGATGCGATCGGCGGCGCCTTAAAGGGTGCGCGCGGAGGAGGGGCCGCAGTCAGCGCCGAGGCGAGGCGGGTGCGTGGGGCTCTCGGGCGGTACCGCCGTTACCGGAGCCCCGTGGGACGGACGGTGCTTGTCTCGCTCCTCTGCCGCCACCATGTCGCGTGAGCCCGAGATCATGGAGTCGCAGGTGATGTGGGAGCCGGACACCAAGCGCAACACCCACATGGACCGGTTCCGCGCCGCCGTGGCCAGCAGCTACGGAATCCGCCTGGGTGAGCGCAGGGCGGGGGCGGGCGGGCGCTGCTCTGCCTTCTCCGGGCTGGCCTCACTGTGGGGCCGCGGTGGGGCTGGGGGCCATCCTCCTGCCCCTCAGGTCTCGCATCCCTTGGGTGCGCGGGCACCCCCCGGCGCAGGAGGGTCACAGTGGTCCAGGCGGGATGCTCTGCTGGAGCCTCGGCCAGAGGCCTCCGGGACAGCATCCACTGAGTGAGAAGGTACGTGCTGGTGGGAAAGGCAAACAGCCTTATCTGCGCCTGGTGCTGCGGCTGGATGTCAGCCCAGGCAGCGCCGGCGTCGCTACCTGCGGCGGCTCCCGGTGTGCAGGGAGCTGCTGGGACCAGGAGCAGCACTGGGGTGACTTGGTGTTTTAAAGGGATGTGGGAAGGCGGGATCACTACCGCCATGGCTGGGAGGTTAGTGTAAGCCTTGGTATGATGCTTTAACGACATAGTTGTGTGAGATTTAAGTTAAGGCCATGTGCATCTTTGATTAGGGAGAGTATGTTTTTGTAATATTCAGGTATGCTGGGAGGTGAAAGGTGATGCCTAAGCTTGTTCAGTGGTGGAAGATAAGGGTTTTTTTGCTATGTATCTGCCAGAGTTTGTGAACTGCGAGCTCTGCTTTGTGCTTGTTCAGGAACACCTGTATGGCTGTAAATAAGTGCGTGTGGTTCTTTGACTTGGAAACAACGTGTTGTCTTTGGGATGAGCTGTGCTTTGAGCAGGGGTTGGACTTCCAGGGATGTTTTCAACCCAGAACATTAGTTTTTCAATGCTTGCTGACTGTAGGTCATGTCTCCAGGGTATCAGTGGTTCTGGCTGTGTGAGCTCAGCCACATCATGGACGAGGTGAACTTCAGTGCATGTGTGGGTCAAACCCTCCAGTTCTGACTAGCTTGTTTTATGGTGTCTGCTCTTCCTAAGTGTTTGAGGGCCAGGTTGCTTGTGTAGCTTTCCTGTGATCACTTGTCTGATGGGGGATGAAGGGAATAGTTTTGGTAAGTGACCTGAAAGTTTCAGTCCAGTGTAGATGTCAGTGGTATGAGCAGAGACATTCTGGAGTGGTAGCAGTGTATATAGTGATTCCTGCAGTTCATGTCCAGAAAACAATTCCTCACCTTGATTGCTATGTAGGTAAGCCAGGTCATTATTTTGACTGCTGGTGATTTCCCCTGGGAAGGCAAATGTATAGTGTCTAACTCTCCTGCTGGATAGGAAGCAAGTTACTACAGTGTTTTAGCCAACTCCTGAGTGAAATGTGATGTAACTGGTACTCATATGATCAAGAGTGAATGCAGTTTCAGATGGGCTGCCTGTGTTTATGGCTGAAACAACTAGAACTCTTTTCATCCCACTTTGAAGTGGCTTTCCCTATTGGAAAGTGGATTGCTCTGCACATGTAGAAACCTTTGTCAGCCTCCATTAGATTTGCACTGGTGTTCACTGGCCTGAGTGCTATTCAACAGCGAAGAATGGATGCTTTATATAACCTTAAGATGTGGACTCTCTGAGGAGAGCTAAGGGCAGTATAGCCCTTTAAGCAGCATGGCTCTGCCTGGCCCTGAAAGTGTAGCAATAAGATGCAATGTTTAACTGCTGAGTAACAGGCCTGTGCCCTGAAGGACTTGTGTGCTGATGCTTATTTGGAACAAACTGTATAGACAAAACAGAACAAACTGTTCATACTGTGAGAAACCAAATTAGTAGTGTCTTGAACCTTTTTGCATTTGTCAAATTATTTGGAGCATGTGGTGCAGTTTGGTTTTGAAGGGGGAGATGGCAACTTAAACTTTTCTTGGGTAAAGTTTTATCTCCACACAGCTGATGTTTGATGTGCCATATAGTAACTTGGGTGGAGTGTAAAAAGGGTATGTAGGAGTCTGGGATTGAGGCAATATGTAGGCAAAACATGATTTATGGAGAAGTCTTGGCCTTTGTCTATGTCAGTAACACAGACAAATCTCACACTGATGGAAAGAGTTGAGGTGGAATTAAATGTTCAAGGGACAGACTGGGTGAGGAAACTGCTGTAGTGGCCATGTGTAACAGTGCAGAGGTAGTTCTCAATGTTTTTCTCTCACAAAGCTGGAAGGTGTCCTCTTTGTAGGAAGAGGATGCAAGCTGGCTTCTGAAGCAATTGGCTGGATAACAGGATGACAAAGCAAAGCTAATTGGTGAAAATGCTTCTGAGTGGTTTAGCTGAAAGCATCAAATAGGGCACACAGTTGGCAGAGCAGGAAACTTATTCTCACTGATGGCAGATATTCATATTTAATTGGTTGTTGGCACAGCTTCAGACAGCATGGACATGATGAGGGAATGTCACTTTCAGGCTGGTGATGTGGCATCAGCTTCAGTTATTCATACTTAGAACTGTTTTACACACTGAATTTTGGTATTTAGTTTGAGTTGTGGGGTTTTCCTATGCATTCCTCAGGTTACTTCATCGGTCTCACAATCATGTAAGACTTTAAACATGGAAATGAGGAGTTTATTGCCGGGTCATGCTTTAATATCTAGCTAGTAAACATCTTGTTTCACTTCATTCATGCTTTTTCAGCATGAAAAGGTAAGCTGCAGTCTGTCAGACCCCATATTTACTGAAAGTTAGGCATGCTTCCTCTAACAGTCCTGTTGATACCACAGCTGGACAATGAGTGTCACATAATCCCCGTGTCACTGAGCTCTCAGAGGTCTTTGGCCCCTGACTAGAACCATATAGCAAGCGTCCCTTCTCAGGAAGCCTTGTTTATCTTTTGCTGTGTGAACATATCATGTTGATATGATAAGGGAGTGAAAGTGTCAGCAGACGGGACTCTGGCCCTTTGATCTTCAGCTGCACTGATGTAGGAGGAAACAGAGTTACTAGGAAAGGTTTCTGTCTCAGTGGTGGCAGATAGCTTGTAACAGTCAGGTGAAGGGATGCCATGTGTTCAGGTTCAAGTAAACTCTGCTATAGTCACTTGCCTTGAGCTGAAGTCATCTACTCTGTGTGGTCAGATTTATCTTCCTGCTTGTTTTAGCCACAAATTTTCTTTATCCAGGACATCCCTAATTGTAGTTTGTCTGAATTCCTGTAATTATCTGCATAGTGCTGACATGTATCTATTACTTCCAGCCAACTATGATGACTTATACCAGTGGTCAGTGGAATCCTACTCAGACTTCTGGGCAGAATTCTGGAAGTACAGTAACATCGTATGCTCTCGCCTGTATGATGAGGTAAGTTGAGTGTTTATCTTACAGTAAGTGCAAAACAAACAGGAAATAAAGTGGTTTCACACTCGATCTTTTGACCTCTTCTTTGAACTCTTGCAAGTGATATGAGGAATCTCTTAGATGTATAGTCCTGAACTTCCTTGTGTGGTGGGTGGTGGTGTTCTGTTGCTGGTACGCTTTAGGACAGTGAAATCCTCAAGTTTTGTTGTCCTAAGCGTTTCTGCTGTAGTGTCCTCGTGTTCATGTGCTCTTGCACACATTATCATTCCTGGCTTCTTGTGAGGAGTCTATCAATACCTGTCTTCTGCTTTAGCATCGTGCTGGTAGAATATCACCTTGGTTTTGTAAATGCTGGCGTGCTGTCAAGTTCATGTTTGACTTCCCTGAGTCAGCTTACCTGATAAGCACACCTGTTACTCTCTGGCTTTGTAGAACTGGTTTTGGAAGCTCTGCAATCAGGCTTGAAATATTTCTGAGGGAATGGTAGTGGTTGAACACTGTCACGGTGCAATACTAGAGTGTACCACAGAGTTGCTGTGGGATAAAGGTGACTCTGAAGCTCTTGCAAATGGAGGGCAAAGCTGAAGCCCTTTTATAGTCCTAGTGTAAGATATCAATATCACCCTGTAGTTTTCCATCTGAGGAAGATGATGGATTGATTGCTTCAAAAGATTGATGCAGTGAAACTTTCCTGGGACTTAGTGGGGAGGACTAGACTTGTTTCTTAATCCCTGGAGACCATCTGTTCCAAGAACCCTCAGAGTACTGGCAGTCCTGCAGAAGGGACTGGTAAGTTTCTTTTGAGTTCTCCTTCTGTTTTATGAATTTCTGTACTGATGTGATAGATCAAGTGGTTCTTCCTGCCATGAAACTGCTTTTTCAGGTGTCTTAATGTGACTCATCCTTTAGAAGAGTGAATTCATCAAGAATGTAAGAACTAGCCTACTTTGAAGTGTGTAGTCTGAAGACTGTAAACACTTAATCTTTACATTTTCTATAGATGGTAACTCAAAATCTTGCCAGGTTGAATTTGGGTACTGTCTATTTTCTCTACATATTCTGTGCTCCTAGCAAGCCTATCCTAAATTTCCACATGAATTCAAATTGTCTTGAGCAAACAGTTCAGAGCAAACTGGACAGTAACACTTGCTCTCTTGCCTTACAGGACTGGTACTCCTGAAAGCCAGTCCCTCCAGATGCCAGCAGTGGCTGATGCATTGGAGGGAAACTGGAGCAGGAGATGGTGCCCTAAAGATGGATGTTTCCTGGGGATGAGTAGCAAGAAGATGGGGATGTTTAGAAAGGCTTTAATTATATTTCTTGTGAGCTGCGGGCCTGTGTTGTAGTGGTCTTGCTGTGATGTCAGGTCTTGAGAGAGGAGAGGGAGGGTCAGC